AAAAAAAAAAAAAAAAAAATATTAAGAAAGAAAGAAAGAAAGAAAAAGAAAAGAAATATAAGCAATAAATACCAAAAGAATTATCTAGAAGAGATGAAAGTTCTTTCTCTAGGGAGAATATGAAAGAAGATAGAGAAATGTGCAGTTCACCTTAACAGACCCTACAGAACTATTTGAGTACAATAAAATATATTTCAGATATCTAAAGTGCCCATGCTTAACTTTATTAAAACTTAAAATCATTAAAAATCATATTGTTAATGAAAAGTACACCAATGTTAACTGTGCCCGCAAATTCTACTCATATTTATTATTAGTAACTGCAGCAACAGAAAGAACCAATTAACAATTCCTTTACGTATCAAAAACTAAACACAAAAGACCAAAATAAAACAAATTCAAGACACATGCGAAACAAGCAACTATTTCTCGAGGCAAGACATCAGCACCATCAAGCAGCAATCTCAAATAAGAATTTACAGAACACAATCACAGAAACCATCATTTAAAACATGGCATTTGAATGATTTGCCTTATTATAGTGTCTAAGCATCTGCTTTCCAATTAATAATTAACAATGTCAATAGGCTGTATTCCTCATTTGACTTTCAGTTAACAGACAGTTAAAAAAAAATGCTGGATTCAATAAGACAAAGGAACTGTAATTAATGAGCCTTCGATACAACTCAATAAAATATATAATTTTAAAATTCTATGTCCTCTCAGCACACGAGGGAATAGTAGAATCGAGTTATCCAAATCTCCCCTTTGGCACTAAGAAAACCAGAGGACATGGTTTTTAACACTATGAATAATGCATTTTCAATGTGTTTGCATAAGCAAGTCCTTTATATAAATGTGATTGTGCTTCAAAGCCATATAACATCTCAGGTTTTAACATATAATATGCTAAAAGCTATGTTTAAGGCAAATAAAAGCATTAAGTAATACCTTCTTACACAGAGCTCGCAGCTTGAAAGTAGAAAATGAAATGCAGAGTGTTCAAAAAAAATTTAAGGAAAAAACTATTACTGTTCCCCATAATTCCAAGTTTTTTTGTTTCAATCATTGTTACTTATTTGGAATAGTTAATAGGCTTCATTAATGTTCTTCATGTATTTAAAAAAGGAAAACATTCCATTTTCCTGAAAGTCTGCAAAATGTTAAAATTCTTCACAAACTGTTCTCTACCATGAGCACAGTAATGACTTCTAGTACATAATTTGGGACTTAGGCAGGAGAAAAGAAGAGAGTTAAAATAAATACCTTTTTGTTAAATGCCCAGATTTTGTCCCATTCCATGTTCACAACTGAACGTGAAGAGCCCTAGAAAATAATAACATGATTTTAAGGGCAAAAAGTATTAATTAGAACTTTGCCTTTTTTTCGTGCTAAGCACGTTTAGAAAAAAATAAACTCGAGAAATACTTACGAGTGTACCTCCAGTGAAATATAAAACTCAGTGTACACAAACTAATTTGGTTACCCTTAAACAGTTCACTGTAAAGGTTCAGTCTACAGACTGGTCACAGTCAACGATCACATAATTCACTGTTATACATACTTCAGCTGCCTTTGTCCAAACCTAGCTTAGGAGTTTAGGACATTTTCAATTTTTCACTATTATAAACAGTGATAAACATACTCCTTTGTTTAAAAAAAGAAAAAAAAAAAGTCTGCCCTTGGATCATAAGGCACAAACAAGGAATAGAAAGAACAATAGAGATAATAAAGACTAAAGGGACAGTAATAGAGGTACCTGAAATTTCAAACAGAGAAGCTGGGAAAGAAACCTGACGCACCTGAGCAGCAATAAACTGTTTCAGTCCTTCAACTGTCATCCCTCTTCTCAGTACACCACGAACCGTAGGAAATCTGGGGTCATCCCTGGAAATATGTAAATTTTAAGTACCAAGGATATATTTTAATGTGTAGATGTGGTGAGAAGATACTTAATCAATAATAAATTATATTCAGCTTATTAAACATTTGGCTGAGAGCTGGTTATACTAACTAAGCAGATGGCAGTAACAGTGAGCCCAAGTTCAAGGAACAGGATAACTGCTGACTTGTCAAATACTACAGTAAAATAAATGCACTACTGAAAACAGTAGAAGCACATTAAAAAAAAAAAAAAGACATAATGGTGACTTTTCAAATATGGAAATCCCATGCATTAATACATTTTTATTTAACAAACATTTTCAAGGTCCCTATTCCATATAGGACCACAAGAATCAGAAAAAAGATGGTATCTTGCCATTCATGTATGAATATACTTTATAAAGACCTTTGTAATAAAACAACAATATATTTAAGAAATTAATATTCTGTAGGCATTTGCAAACCTCACTAAGTATGCAGTAATATCCTTTTAATGGAGCTCAAGATAAACTTTTACATCTTCCCTTTGACTTAAGGGTATTTTTACCTTCTTGGGACCTAGCTGAAAAGCAGAGAGTAGAGATCAGTAACCAAATATACCAAGGAACAGAAAGTCATAACCATTTTCCTATTAAATGCTAAGACTTGCAGAGGACGTGCCCTCATGTGTGTTTTTCAATCATGATTCCTAATAAGCATTCCATATTAGTGGCATTAAAACAAGAAAGGGGAACCCTAATGTATTGGTTGAGATGAAGATAAGAACCAGGAATTCTATAGGCCTACCCATTCCCCCTCCTCCCAATAACCTTCCCTATCTCTCAAGCAGTTTAAAAATCACTGATCTACTATGTCCCTACTTCTTGTCAATTGTTAGCAACACTAAACATACCATCCATCTACTAGTCCTTCATTGACAAACCATGTGAGTTTTCTTTTGGATAGCACTGTGTTGTTCAGATTTAGCCGACTATATTCCCAAATATATGGTTTTCTTATGCCTAAAGCTTCAATAATCCAGTAAAACTGCTCGTCTCTGTCATGGTATTCTGTTGTTCTCAAGGCATGTGTAACACCTTCGATGCTGTCAACTATGGGGCAGGCAAAATCATATGTTGGATAAACACTAGAAAAAAAGAAAATTAAGAAAACCATAAAACATTTTATCCTTTCCATCTTAGACTGGGCATTATAAATAACAGCACTAGTTTAAAATATAATTTTTTACAAGTTAAGAGATTCTTAAATACCAAAAGGTTTTATAACTTATAATACTCAAAGTATTTCAAAACATTAGCAGCCTCTGAGAAGGATAAGTCAGTTATCAACTCAGTATTAAAACAAAAAAGCAAATTTGCAATCTAATTAAAAAATTAGGTACTGGCTTGACAAATTCTATAATCATATTTCTGTAATGACCAATGTACAGCATGGTAGGAAGCAACAAACAATACATTACATAATTTTAAGGTAATTTAGCTTTTGAACATCTTTTTGAGATGGAGTCTCAACCAGTCTTTAGTAATACCTTACTCAAGTAAATCCTTCAAAGTCTTAAAAGATTTGTAGTCAAATGCACTCAAAAACAGTTCTCCATTCACTGTGTTAAAAAAAAAAAAAACAATAACAACAACAAAGGACCAGAAAATCACTAGGTTAATTAAAATTTAAGATGAAGTAGTCTTAGAAACAATTTCTGACTAAGATAATGCACACAATTTACATGTAGTATCAATTTGAATAAAGAATACATATATTAGCGCATTATGCTTTTGTTGTTTTAGTTTTTGGAGATAGTCTCGCTCTTTCACTCATGCCAGGGTGCAGTGGTACGATCTCAGCTCAGTGCAACCTCCACCTCCTGGGTTCAAGTGATTCTCAGCCTCCCGAGTAGATGGAATTACAAGCATGTGCCACTATGCCTGGCTAACTTTGGTATTTTTTTAAGAGATGGGGTTTCACTATGTTGGCCAGGCTGGTCTCAAACTCCTGGCCTCAAGTGATCACCCAGGCCTCCCAAAGTGCTCGTATTACAGGCATGAGCCACTGCACCCAGCCAATGCTGTCCTTTTTGTTTGTCTGTCTAGAGACAGAGTCTCACTCTCTCACCCAGGCTGCAGTGAAGTGACATGATCACAACTCCATGTAACCTTGAACTCCTGGGCTCAAGCAGTCCTTCTGCCTTAGTCTTCCAAGTAGCTAGAACTACTGAAGCATGCCATGATACCTGGCTAATATTTTTAATTTTATTTATTTTTTTGGTAGAGACAGATTCTTGCTATGTTTCCTAGGCTGGTCTCAAACTCCTAGCCTCAAGAGATCTTTCTGCCTCAGCCTTCCAAAGTGTTGCGATTACAAGCATGAGCCACTGTGTCCAGCCGTTATACTTAAGATGCTACTGCATTATGCCTTGCAATTATTTGATACTGAAAATGTGTATCCAAAGTCACTTTTCCAAATGTATTTAAAGGATTTCCTTGGTAAAACAAGGAGTAATCCTAGTAAAAATGATAATCACGCTACTCATACATGTGTTTGTCTATATATGGACGTATCAGGACCCATAAGTTTAAAGTAAGTCACATCAGCTAACCAAGTAATCATTTACATTTACCATTCTCTTCAGAAGTCTTAATTCAGCATTTGTGTGTAGTAGGCTTCTCCAAAGTATTAAAAAATATATATTATGGTTTATTTTATAAAGTAGAGTTTTTTTGGAAAAGGTCCATTTAAAACAAAGATCTGTTAACCTACAAATTCACATAGAAAACTAATCTAAACACATGTTACTTTCCTGTATTGTTCATATTCCTGGAAGTTTTCAATATTATCACTTTTGGGAATCAATCTGTGCAAAGTAGACTCAAAGTTTATTACAGGAAGAGAAGTACCTTCACCTAAAGATATACATCACAGTTTATCTAATCAATACAAAAAAAGCAGCTCTAGGCAGACTCAGGACTTTCATAGATGGAAGTGATCTTAGAAATAAAGTAGTATAACCTTAACTGACAGGTGATCAAACAGGCCCTGAAAGGCTACATGCCTTTATAGAAGTCCACCAGCCAGTTAACCTATGCATGAACAAAAGGCCAGGCTTCTTGACTATTTTGCATCTATTCCATGTTTAGAGAAGATCAAAACAAAAGCACAGAAGGCTACCTAGCATATTGAAGGAGACATATTTACTTGTATTTATTTCCAGTTCTTGGATGTGGTTGAATTTTGCAGCGATAAAGGGTTGGATCTCTCATGCATCCGTTGTTACTACTCATGTCAATTTTTGCTCGCAAACAACAGGACTGACCAAACTGGCTCCCTTTTTTCATTTCTTCCCACATTTGTAGATTCTTCTCAATAGCTATAAAGTGATAATTATATTAGTTTATTAATCTGGTTAAATTTAAATTATTCTAATAGTGCTATAATTTGACATAAATTTTCATGTTATTGTCTTATAAACACCCTGTGTTAGTTTAAAAACACTCTAATAGTTCCAGTATCCAGCACCAAGAGCAAATCCATCATTTTTTAATGAAAGAAGTTTCACAATACATTTAGGATATACAAATATGTTTTAGAAAAGGTGACATCAATACGTTCCACTCATGTAGTTTCAATTAAGCACAAGAAGAAGTACAAAGCCTGAAGGCTCTGCTCACCTAAGTGTTTCCCTTCCCATCATGGCACAACCGGCCAGCCCCTTCTCTTCTCATCTCCCTCAAATTTAACATTTCGCCTTTAAAGCAGAAGCATTCTCTTCTTTAGCCACCTCATGCCTAGAGGACAGAATGGTTTGGTCCAGCCCTAAGGTCCCACAGGCACTGGCATTACAGCCCATGCCTGTCTGAAGAACACAGTTCAGGATGAGAGTCTGAGCTCCTGGGCTCCCTGAAAGCCCCTTCTCATCCCAATGAGAAGCAGGATACTCTTGGATCCAAGAAAGTAAGAGGTGATAGAAAACAGACCATGATACAAGAAAAAAAAGAATACTAGAAAATAAGGACTCTGTATTTCAAGTGGCTATGGTTTTACCTATATCAGAACATCTAGCAAACAACCTGCCCCACATCAATAAGAACTGTTAAACAATAATTTTCTGTGGAAGCTACTAAAAATATAAGACACTTGCCCACAAAGCATCAAGGTAAGTCTAAAAATCCATTTGTTTGCCATCTTTGAAAATGTAGAAAAACTTTTCAAAAGAAAAAAGACTCATTATAACTACTTCAATTTACCAGTACTTCCCAAATGTGACACTCAAGATTTAAATACAGTGTGGTTCTGGTAACATAATTACAGAATGAAAATAGCCCAATTCAGAAGTTCAGGAGAGAAATCATGAATAAGAAAGATATGCTCTTTAGTCAAGTGATATTTCAGAGACGTAGGTTAGTAATGAGCTTATATATTATATTCACATTTACCCACATGCCAAAAGGAAGACTTGGGTGATAACTTTATCATCAAAAATTGTATTATAGAAAAAAGAAAACTGTAAAATGTTCCAGAAGGAATCCTTCAAACTGAATACAATGTAAAAAACTACACATAAGTGAGACACTAAGGGCATATTCATATGCAGCTGTGATGTTAAAATAATAAAAACATAAAGATAATAAAGAAAAAAGATTTCTAAGACAAATGAGTCATATACCCAAATGTGTTTAAACTAGCAGCTTTTATTAAAAAGAAATCACATTCTACTCAAGAAGCAAGATATAAGAATATCAATTAAAACATAAAACAATGTGTCTTACGGTTTTTTCTATGTTTGGATTCTATCCTCTGCTCACGTTCTGCTTTCATCTGCTCAGCAGGAGTATCATCCACATAAGCCTTCCCTTCTTGAATTAGCTTCTCTGCATATTTCATTATAGTTTCAAAATGATCCGAAGTATAAGTAAATTGATCTGGTTTGATATGCAACATTGCAACATCTTCCAAGATAACCTGTAATAAGAAACCAAAATAACCACCAGTATATCTTTCTCATTTTTTCGTGCTTTTTCAACCCTTGATACTGCATTTAGGCAAATGTAATATAGACCATCAGTCTTATTTAGCCTGAAAATGGTTGTGGAAGTTACATGATATTAGATCAAAAAAGAAAAAAAAGAGATAGATATGCATTACATTAGCCTCCAAATTTCCATCTGAGAAAGCTGATCTCATGATGGAGTTTTATATTTACTTTGGAAAAGCTGGTCATTACTGGGAGAACTGACAATCATTTGCCCTCTCTTTGAATACACTGCCATACCTCTGAAAAAAGATAAGAGGCTAGGAAACCTTCACATTTTTCAATACCTACTTAGTGTTTATTTCATTCACAAACTTAAGATTATATGACCAAAAAACCTGCCTCCAGTGACCAATTCATTTAATAAATTGGTATTACAGGAAAATATATCATTCAGGTACGATCTGTAACTTGGGAAAAGAAAAATAAATTTTAAGTTTTTTTGGTATGGGAGCTCAATATTTCTTGGCTTAGGTTTCAGACATGGAATATATAGATAAGGGGGAAAAAGCAGCTATGAGAACAAAATTTATTTTCATACCATGAAGGTATTAGGTAATCCTGTAACTTTAATTAACTTTTCTGACAAAGGGTCATCACTACACTTTTAATTACCTTCTCAAAATCTTCCTTTTCTTTTTCAGGATTTGTGTCATCAAATCTCATGATCAGTTTCCCTTTAAAGTTAACCTGGTAGTGCTGGTTCAGAAGAGCAGCTTTTGCATGCCCAATGTGTAAGTAACTAAAACAAAAACATTTCACAAAGAAACTCATTAACATGTTTTAACTAATTACTTAAACTTAACCTTTTTGAGGAGATGAGAACTAAACAAAAATCCTTCTAATTGGTACCCCAGTCATATTTTATTTTCTAACAAAAAGTACTGTGATCGAAAATCTAACCCTGACAGGAAGGGAAAAAAGACTATACCATTCGTAAAACAATTGTAAGAAACAACTTCATATGTAAAATCTCACAGAAGGGACAAGCTATTTACAATCATTGCAACCTTAAGGAGAATCTCCTTTTTCTTTTTATCAGGAAGAATGATCACTTAAAGTAAAGCTGCTTCAAAATTGTTTCCAATGCTACCTTCCACTGTTTAATAAGATCTACTACTACTGAAAACTGGGTGCCCACCTAATGCCCACTGAAGAGAAGCTCCTCTGAGACTGTCACTGTCACTGTGATGGCTAAATGAAAGGAGCACCTGAGAATTAGGAAGCCACAGAAAAGTCACTTTACTTCTCTAGGCTTCAGTTTTCTCAGATGCCAAAATAAAAGATAATTTTTTAACTTTAATTTTTAAACTTTTATTTTAGGTTCAGGGGTACATGTGAAGGTTATGTAGGTAAGCTCATGTCACAGAGATTAAAAATAAAAGAATTTTAGCTAAATAATCCCAAAGGTCTCATGAGCACCAAACTCAATGAATCGGAATCTACAAAAACACTGTTCTGCTGTTCCTATCAGCAGCTGACAACTGTAAGGAATAATACAGATGAGAGGCACTGTTGATAATATCACACATCAACACCCTCCTCTATCAAGTAAGTGAGTAAAAGAAAATATGTTATAGCACTATGTTGAAATACAGTGGATTGGGCTAGAAACAAGGCATGAAGCATGGAAGTTTAATCAGCTCTCACCAACTTGTATTAGTTTCAAATGATGGTAGCAGTTGCATAGCTTTAAGACAGTTACCTAGTTTCACGTGCAGTTTTTATCTCAGTTGACATCAATATGGGAGGAAGGAAAACCACCACCTCTTGTATATATTTATACCATTTTTAAATCAATCAATTCTTAAAAAGCCATTAGTATCCCAGATCAATGATTCAACTTTAAGAAGGGTTTATATGCAAAGATTATGCAAACACATACAATGCAATGTATTTAGGGCTATTCAAAACTTTTTTTTTTAATTAAAAATTACATTAGGGCATGTAATAAAGGGCTGCACATGATGTCACAGATGAGATCTTAGACCAGAAAAGGGATACTAGGGAAAAACTAATAAAATCCCAAAAAAGCATGGAGTTTAATTAATAATATGTTAGCCAGGGCAGTGGATCAAGCCTGTAATCCCATCACTTTGGGAGGCCGAGGCGGGTAGATCACCTGAGGTCAGGAGTGCAAGACCATCCAGCCTGATCAACACGATGATACTCGTCACTACTAAAATCACAAAAAGTAGCCAGGCGTGGTGGCACATGCCTGTAATCCCAGCCACCTGGAAGGCTGAGGCAGGAAATCACTTGAACCCGGGAGGCGGAGGTTGCAGTGAGCCAAGATTGTGCCGTTGCATTCCAGCCTGGGCAACAAGATCGAAACTCCATCTTTAAAAATAAAATAGTAAGAATATAGTAATATTGGTTCATTAGTTGTGACAAAAGAACCACAGTAATGTAAGATGTTAATGTTAGGAAAAACTGAGTGCAGAGTACATGGGAACTTTCTGTACTATTTTTGCAACCTTGTGAAATCTAAAACTAAGTTAAAAATGTATTAAAAATAAAATTAAATGAAGGGTCATAAGTTCCCAGGAAGAAAAATACTGTGGTTTAGTTTTAACTGAGGGCATTGCACCCAATAACATGCTATAATAACCATTGTCACGAAAATACTAACTAAATTACTACCTATTATTTTACAGTTAATGTGCTTGGCTTTAAAATACAGAAGTTAATTTAAGAAGGGTCATGAGATCAAAACATGATTTCAAAAATGTTATTTCTACATCCAAAATAATATGTGCAGGTCTAACAATTCCAAACCTCAAGTAAGCTAAGAGGACTATAAAATCATCAGTTAAAGAGTCAATCTATATCAGAATAGCTTAGGAAAAAAAAAAAAAAAAAAGATCATGCTGCATGAGTTAGCACTGATGCTGAATTGGGCTTCTGCCACATGTAGGAGATACATGTAGTATAATTTTTAATTATATGAACTCTAGAGCCACATGGTATAGGTTTGAGCTTGGCAAGTTACTAAAACATTGTATGAATCTGTTTCCGAAGCCGAAGCCATTTGTAAAACAGAAATAACAACAAACAACAGTGCCTTCTTTAGAAGGCTGCTGGTATTAAATAAGTTGCTGTAAGTAAAGCATGTGGTGGCAACTGTACATAATAGGTACTATATATATGTTAGCTAAGAATAAAAATAAAAGGCAAAGCCAAGCCTTCTGGCCTTTCATTTAAGACAAAGAAAAGGAAAAAAAGAAAAAATAGTAATTAAAGAAAAACTCTTCAACAATATAAGAAGAGATGATCAGCTGGGTGCAGTGGCTCACACCTGTAATCCCAGCACTCTGGGAGGCCAAGGTGGGCAGATCACCTGAGTTTGAGACCAGCCTGACCAACACAGAGAAACCCCATCTCTACTAAAAATACAAAATTAGCCAGGCTTGGTGGCACATGCCTGTAATCCTGGCTACTCGGGAGGCTGAGACAGGAGAATCACTTGAACCCAGGAGGCAGAGGTTGTGACGAGCCGAGATCGTACCACTGTACTTCAGCCTGGGCAACAAGAGCAAAACTCCATCTCAAAACAAAAAACAAAAAAACAAGAAGAGATGATCAAAATTATGCACAATAAGAGAAACTAAATACTGATTCATATTCCAAATCCCAAAACTGTCTCACGAGCATAGTCTCTGAAACCGACATAATGTACAAGTAAATACGTTTTATACTGTAAATATACAAACATGGGGAACTCACTATTCCAAGAAGTGACAGTGACACAAAATATAAAAAGATTCAAAAAAGGCAAATGTTCAAGTGGCACAGTTATAATTGGCCACTGCCAAAAAAAGGTGGCTTTTATAGAGAATTAAAGTCACTATCCAAAAGGATAATCATGACCACTCATGCCAAGTACACAGAAGCAGAATACTGGATGGTAGGAACTCAAGATGTCTACAGGTATTAAACCATGTAAGGTAAGTATTATTTATGATTGAATCCACTTAGTCAATTACCAATCAATCATTTAATGATCAAGTCTGTGAATTTTCCAGTCATCACTTCTGTTTCATCTCCTTCTATCTACCCTTTATTTCACCTCCTAAATCAGCAAACATAGAAAAGCAGAGAAAATGTGAAATTCTAAAAGTAATTTTACTGTTAATTATGCTTATGAAATAGTTTGTGAAGAACTATTAAATACATAGCTAAAAGAAAATTGTTTCTATATCTTCCAGTTTCCACTGTGTACTACAGAAGGGTGAGAACTTCGTTATGGCAATAGAATACAAAATCTGAAAAAATTAAATTTGGAAATCTTAAATTAGGAAAAAATAATCACCTCACTTACAAAATATAGCAGATCACTTTCCTAACGGTTTATTTTCTAAGTGAGACTAACTGTTTTAATAAGACGTATTTTATTATAGTAATATAATTGGAAGGATGTTATTATAAAGCTTGTCCAATGTGTTTCAAATAGGATGACAGGTGTGCAAAGACAAAGACCCCCTCGGTCTTGGGGGATGGTGGACAAGGCCTGAAGCAGCCCAGCCAGGTGACCACCAACAGAAGTCTTTTTCCCTAATAAGCCATTCAAATACTACCTTCCATAGCTGTCAAGAGATAAAAGGTTTGGGAAACCTAATGTAAAGACAGGAATAGAAACAGGCTTTTCAGGAATCCCCTTCATTTATTTGGAGGAAAAAAATAAAAACAATGCTATTATAACTTCAACTGCTAATTAAAAGGACTGCTCAGGGTACAAATACAAATCCAATTAAATGAAAGCCCAAAAGTCTAAAAATAAAAATGAAATTTAAGGTTTTTTTATTTATGGATATTTTGTTAATTACATTTAAAGTTCTGTCAGGATAAAATTAAAATGTCTCTTTTATTATGTTCACAAACTAAAACTACAAATTAAATCAACATTAACTATTAGCAATGGAAAAACTATTAAGATGTTTAGAATTTTAACTCCCGCAATTAAAATCTTATGTTCTTCTATATCATTAACCTATTAATATTTTAAGTATTTAATCACTGTTTTAAAGCTTTCCCACTAAATATATTCAATTATAAATGTGAGTTACATTTTCTTACCCACTAGCCTCTGGAGGAAATCTGACAGTAACCTTTCCCATCTCTGCACCTGGAAGCTCAACAAATTTCCCAACATCTTGCTTTTTCTCAGGTGCCTGAAAAACACAATCACCATCACAACAAAAAGTCATGTGGTTAAATGTCTAAGAACACACTCATTCAACAAATGTGCCAGGCACCACACTGGTTATGGAAAACATAACAACTAGATCATCATCCCTGCACCTAAGGATGCAAAATCTGGTTAAGAATATAAATAAAACCAAATACCAGTAATAGAGATATGTTCAGGGTGCTGTTCGAGCACTCAGGTGAATTAATCAGCAATATCAAGGTGTATAAGGAAAAGCTTAAAAGGAGTTAGGAACCAAGCTGGACCTTGAAGAATATGTAGAAATGTATCATATGGAGAGTATATGGGAAGCTGGACACAGTGGCTCAAGCCTGTAATCCCGGCACTTTGGGAGACTAAGGAGGGCAGATCATCTGAGGTCAGGAGTTCAGGGCCAGCCTGGCCAACACAGTGAAACCCCATCTCTACTAAAAATACAAAACTTAGCCAGGCATGGAGGTATGTGCCTGTAGTCCCAGCTACTCAGGAGGCTGAGGCAAGAGAATCACTTGAACCTGGGAGGTGGAGGTTGCAGTGAGCCAAGATCATGCCACTACACTCCAGCCTGGGTGACAAGAGCAAAAACTCTGTCTCTAAAAAAGAAAAAAAAGAGTATATGGGGTATTCATTCTAGGTAAATAAATAACAGTAAGGCACAAAGGCAAGAGAAAGTAGTTCAATATCCATGAAAAACTAGGGATGCATATTGGGTGGGTAGGCAAGAAAGCTGAAATAGATTAAGTCAAAAACACAGAGGGCCTTTTAAGCTTGGCTTTTAAGTTTCAGGCAATGGGGAGTCAGTCCTCAGGGGTAAGTAATAGGACCATGGATTTGTGTTTTCTAAAGTGATACCCTGAACTAAAGAAAGGAGACAAAAAAAAGTTCAGTTATGAGGTTACGGTATTAAACCAAGCAAGGGATAATTAGGCCTCAACAAAGCACAACAGCATTGAAGATGGACAGAAAACAAATCTCCACACATGAGAGTAACAAGACTGGTTGAGTAAATGTGAAAAACAGTGAAGGATGAATAAAGATTTGTAGTCAAAACAACCAAGTGGACTGTGCTATCTTCATTCAAGTAGACAGTTTTCCAATTTTACTACATTAGAAAACCTTCATTAAATCAAAACTTTACTACACATTCCTAAAATGTGAAACAGATCAAAGTAGGGCAACTCTAGCTGAGAAAAGGACCTTTCCTACTGTACACTATGTCACATTCTCCTACACAATCAATGAAAAAGTGCTGCAGAATCCCAGGACTCCATGCTCAATGGTTCAAAAACCAGGAGACTCAGGAGGAAGAAAAGACTGTAAAGGTATAAAATTATGAGGTTTTATTTATATGGAGTTTGGATTGTGTAAGGGTTATACACTGGCTGATCAAAATCTTTAGCTATATAAAGGTTAGGGCTTTAAGTAGCTGAACAATTAAAAGTCAAACCAAGACATAAAAATGTCAGATTCTTGCAAGAAGATTTATTAAAAGAAAATGAACTTTATGAGTAGGAATAATTTTCTTTCCAGACCTAGGGCCTCAGACAGACTGAAATGTCATTTTTTTTTTTTTTTTTTTTTTTTCTAAAAAAAAGAAAGATAAAAAGGCTTACCACTCTAGCTTTGGTTGCTGAAACATCCCACTGGGTACCTACTGACCGGAAGGCCTGCTGGGCTTCAAGAAAGCAAAACCAGCGTTTTACATGAACTGGAGCTTTGTTCTGTTTCAGCTGTTCCTGCCATGCAGCATTTCCTATTAGCAAAGATAATTTTAAACTATTCAATAAATCTGCAGCTTCAAAAGCAAAGTTCCAGTTGTGATTAATTCAAGTAAATGAGATGGCTTAAAGTTGTGCTTATGAAGAAAATGGAATTTTAAATATCTGGGTATACATCGAAATGTTTTGTAATACAGTTAGCTCTCCATGCCCATGGGTTCCATAACCGTAGATTCAACCAACTGAAAAACATTCAAATCTGGGCGTCGTGGTTGCCTGGGACCAGGGGAGGGTGGATGATTACGAAAGGACATGAGGGACTTTTGGGGGTGGTGAGTATATTTGTTATCTTGATTGTAACCATAGTTCCACAGGGTGTGGGGTGTGTGTGTGTGTGTGTGTGTGTGCACGCATCAAAATTTATCAAATTATACCTTTTTAAGTAAGTGTGGTTTTCCGTGTATCAATTATACCTCATGAAAGTTGTTTTTGAAAAAAACTGGCTTTCCAAGTTGGAAAGCGCATATTCTTGTTGCATACTGTTGTAGAAGAGGGAAGTGACCTCTCAGGAAAACCACAATTCCACATCATCCCACTACCCCCCAAACTCCCAATCACACACTCACTGAGCAATAAAGACTTTTTTCAAGTCAAAGACAAGTGTCTGGAGTAAAATAATGGCTGAAGTGGGAGAAGTGTTCACATAAATCGGATGGGGACTTCTTTAACAGGAACAAAATCAGCTCCAAAGGCAAAAAGAAAGTTGACACCAGAAAAAGACAGGGAATTCCTGTAACTGGATAGGAACAAAACAGCCAGGGAGGGGATTCCTCTGTAATAAAGTCCTAAGTTACTGTCTAAACACATATACACACACACATATACACACATGCATACACACAGAGATATATATGCTTCCTATCCAGCAAATATTAAATGATTAAAACAGAGCACTTTAAGAACAATTATTGATACCTTTTAGGGTGGCCCAAACACATAAATCTGCTAAGCTCAAGGAGTTTCCAACTAAGTATGTTCTCAGAGACAGGCAATGATTGAGCTCATTGATTGCGGAAGTAAAGGAATTACATGAAGATAATTTTGTAGCACTGAACTCCAGCCAGTGATCAATCTGTGAACATAAAAGATAGAAAAAAAATGCACTCCAACATTTCAACTTAAAGACCATAAACAAATTCTAGTTAACTGGAGCAACAGTAACTGCGGCTTCCTCAGTCAGACCTATGCTTTTCCTTTCTCAAATTATACAACTTATCATTATGTGAACTAAATTCTGGTTGCCTAAAATCTAAAATGGAACTTAAATAAATGCTACATTTTACTGTTATTTTGCTATGCTTTCTGTTTTTTTACAGGAGTGTGGAGGAGCATTTCAGGAAAGAACAAGAAAATAAGAATTTGAGAACTGGTGGCAGAAATAAGTAACCAACATGAATGAACCCAAGGGATGGTACCTGGCCAAACAGATTCATTTACTTGAAAAATGTAAAAGTAAATACTTAGAAACTGTTGAGAAATGCTGAGTGTATGGTAAAATTACATTGTTTGCTAAGAAGAACGATGGCAAGGAAAACCTAGCTGGCACTCCCACCCAAATGGAAAACTGCTTGGGGCATTCTAAAGTAGCAGAGCAGTGTATGTATATTACACACCAGTTAAAACAATTCTTTAAGCATGGGACATGTGATCATGCCCCTGTGGCTCCCTCATGGAGAATACTTTTTAGTTTGTCCATGATCAGTGGTAAGCAGGCACCAGCTTCCTACCTAATGTATCTTGGTTCTACGAGAAAACACAGAACACCTATTTGTTAATAACAAACACCTGTTCAGACAGAATAACTACATGGGTCAGTTTGCTCAAGCCCTCAGCCTGGAATGCTGTCAGGCCCTGAGGCTTTGAGCTCAAAGGCTGTTGGCCCCCGGATAGTCCCACTTTGCTGTTCTATCTGGGTGTCTGCTTCTTAATTCCTTCAGCGCCACCTGAGTGTGGGGTCTCTATGGCCAAGCTGGTCTCGGTAAGAAACCATTCTTTGTACTTTGAATTTTATGAAGATTTAGGAAAGTTAGAGCAGAATACAAACAGGGAAAAAAAGCAGTAACTAAAAAGCAGTACCGTCATCTACAGCATAATGACATTTCGGTCAATGACAGACTGCATATATGACAATGGTCCCAGAAGATTATAGTTTCGTTTTATGTTGTCTATGTTTAGATACACAAACACTTACTATATTACAACTGCCTACTGTATTGAGTATTGTAACATGCTGGTATAGGTTTGTAGCCTAGAAGGAATAGGCTACACTGTATAGCGTAGGTGCATAGTAGGCTACCCCATTTAGGTTTTTGTAGGTACACTCTATGATGCTGATAGAATGATGAAATTGCCTAAAAACACATTTCTCAGAATGCATCCTACTGTTAAGAGGCACATGATTGTATCAAAAGATAATTTACTACTGCAGGCATATGCTCAGAAAAGAAAATGGGATCCAAACTAAGAAGTTACCCTGGTCAAACCTCTTAACTCTTCCAGGCCTGCTGCCTTCCTTATCCCTAAAGAAAGTTGGATGAGATGATCCATACAGCCCCATCTGCCTATGAAATGCTAGGAATCTCTGAAGACAAAGATAGCACTAAATGCTCCCAAAAGAACAGCTAGTAGGGGATTAAACATTCAAACTTAGGAGTTATAAAAAAAGAATGTTTTGGTGACAAAAAATAAGATGAGCATTCTGTACCTTGGTCTATATAACTAACACTGTTAATATCCTTAAGTAGAATAGTTCATAAGCCAACAATAAATGAGGTTCCCATAAAAAACAGAAGCATAAGACAAAGCACACAGTGAAATGCTCGTTGCTCACCTCAGTATGTTCCATCAGATTAGAGCCATACAACCCAGCTGTAGTTGCAACTCGAGCCAAGTATCGAAGTATGGAATTCACATCTGTGAATATCACATTTCTAGAATATAAGCATGAAATAAAATATCACTGCTGCTCTAGCAATTCCGTTTATGAAGAAACGTAAAAATGGAAACCTTATTATATTTACTATGTATTTTCTACTATAGTAAAAAAATAGATCTGCTAATTTGTTCCTTTTTTTCCAGAATTTCGCTCTTGTTGCCCAAGCTGCAATGCAATGGTGTGATCTCAGTTCACTGCAACTTCCACCTCCCAGGTTCAAGTGATTCTCCTGCCTCAGCCACGAGAGTAGCTGGGATTACAGGTGCCTATCACCACGACCAGCTAATTTTTTGTATTTTTAGTAGAAACGGAGTTTCACCATGTTAGCCAGGCTGGTCTCAAGCTCTTGACCTCAGGTGATCTACTTCCCAAAGTGCTGGGATTACAGGCATGAGCCACCACGCCTGGCTTGCTAATTTGTTCTTTACATGTCTATTCTGAGGGGCAAATATGAAAATATAACCAGCATACTGAGAATAACAGTGATTTGAAATAAATCAAGCCTTGCTGGGTGTGGTGGCTCACATCTGTAATCCCAGCACTTTAGGAGGCCAAGTTGGGCAGAACACTTGAGGTCAGGAGTTTGAGACCACCCTGGCTAATATGGTAAAACCCCATCTCTACTAAAAACACAAAAATTAGCCAGGTATAGTGGCATGCACCTGTGGTCCCAGCTACTCAGAAGGCTGAGGCACAAGAATTGCTGGAACCCAAGAGGCAGAAGTTGTAGCAAGCTGAGATCACATCACTGCACTCCAGCCTGGATAACAGAGAGAGACCCTGTCTCAAAAAAAATAAATAAATAAATCAAGGTAAAGAAGCCAAGAATATACTACTAATAAAGAGGCTAAAAAGGCAGATCAAACCTCATCAAAATTAATCACAGGCACCACTGCACTCCAGCCTGGGCAGCAGAGCAAAACTCCGTCTCAAAAATAAAAGTAAAAATAAAACCCACACACACACTGTTGGTGGCAGTGTAAATTAGTGAAACCACTGTAAAAAAGCAGTATGGCGATTTCTTAAAGAGCTAAAAACAGAAGTACTGAAGAGGGAGACCCAGGCATCTGAGATCAACTTCCCCTTTGACTATCACACTGCATTTCAATAGAAGAAAAGGCTGACCAACTGGCACCTCCTGTTTCACCTTCCTGTAGGCGGCAGTCTTGGTCTTGGGAAAACTCTCCGGAAGACCCTGTTTTTACTTAAAACAAGATCAATGTGAGTGATCTTGTTTTCACATGTGAGTCCTAAAACTGTAAACCGGAACCCTTTCATATGTGATTCCTGAAGCCGTAAACAGAAACCTTTTCACGAGTCCTAAAACTATAAACCAGAATCCTTTCATATGTGATTCCTGAAACTGTAAACAGAAACCTTTTCACATGCGAGTCCTAAAACTATGATGAAACCTTTTCATATGTGATTCCTGAAGCTGTAAACCAAAACCCTTTTCATATGCGATTTCTAAAGCTATAAACCTAAGGTTCTTCGATGTAAGTATAAGCCTGTATAAAAGGCAGAACCTTCCTTTGTTAGATAAGCTGAATTTGAATGGAATCATTCCTCAGCTCCCGGCTGTAATAAGAAAACCCTTTCCTTTTCCCATTCGGTGTTCAGGAGCTCTGTTTCTCGCTGCCGATCCTGCTACACTATGATTCGACCCAGCAATCCCCATTCATTACTGGCTGTACACTCAGAGGAATATAAACCATTCTGCCATAAAGACACATGTACGCAAATATTCACTGCAGCACTATTCACAATAACAAAGGCATGGAATCAACCTAAGTGCCCATCAGTGACAGTCTAGATAAAGAAAATGTGGCGCATATATACCATGGAATACTATGCAGCCATAAAAAAAAACAAGATCACATCTTTTGCAGGAACATGGATCGTGCTGGAGGCCATTATCTTTAGCAAACTAACACAGGAACAGAAAACCAAGTACTGCATGTTCTCACTTATAAGTGGGAGCTTAATGATGAGAACACATGAACACAAAAAAGGGAACAGACACTGGGGCTTACTTGAGGATGGATGTTGGGAGGAAGGAGAAGAGCAGAAAAAATAACTATTGGGTACTGGGCTTAGTTTTTGGGGGACAAAAAATATGCATAACAAACCCCCATGACACAAGTTTACCTACATAACAAACCTGCACATCTACCACTGAACCTCAAATAAAATTTAAAAAAAAAGAGAATTTCTTTTTAGCAATGAAACAAAAACATTGCAATCATGAAACAACAGGATCCTAAACAAGTAGTACACAGAATGCAAAAAAAGAGAGCACTCAGTTACTAAAAATATAATGGCCAAAACTGAAAACCTCAATAGAAAAATGGAATAAAGCTGAGGAATTTCCCAGAAAGTAAAGAAAAAGAAAATTGAACCTGGCATGTTGATGCACACCTGTAGTCGCAACTACTGCGGGGGGCGTGGGCAGGTGGGGGGCTGAGGCATGTATATTGCTTAATCCCGGGAGTTGGAAGCTATAGCGTGCTACAATTGCACCTCTGAGTATCTACTGCACTCCAGCCTGGACAGCATATTGAGACCTCCATCTCTAAAAATAAAAATAAAGAGATGGGGCCGGGCATGGTGGCTTATGCCTGTAATCCCAGCACTCTGGGAGGCTGAGGCAGGCAGATCATGAGAAGATTGAGACCATCCTGGCCAACATGGTGAATCCCCGTCTCTACTAGAAATACAAAAATTAGCTGGGTGTGGTGGCACATGCCTCTAATCCCATCTACTTGGGAGGCTGAGGCAGGAGAATCACTTGAACCAGGGAGTCAGAGGTTGCAGTGAGCTGAGATCGCACCACTGCACTCCAGCCTGGTGACACAGTGAGACACTATTATAGAAAAAAGAAAAAAAAAAAACAACAGGAAACGGAGAGAAGAACACTTCAAATTAAAGAAAAAATTTTTTCAATTACCCAAACCAGGATTTCCAAGTTTCCACAACAAAAGTGGGAACCAAATGCCCAGCAGAACAGATAAAAAATAGACCCAAACTAAAGCATATTGTTATAAAACTTGAGAATACGGACTCCTAAGGGAACAGTCTTCCAAACTTCCTGAAGTCATGTAGAAAAGTTCAGAAAGGCCGGATGCGATGGCTCATGCCTGTAATCCCAGTATTCTGGGAGGCCAAGGCGGATGGATCACAAGGACAAGAGATTGAGACCATCCTGGCCAACGTGGTAAAACCCCATCTCTACTAAAAAAAAATTAGCTGGGCATGGTGGTGCGCACCTTGTAGTCCCAGCTACTTGGGAGACTGAGGCAGGAGAATCACTTGAACCCAGGAGGCAAAATTTGCAGTGAGCCGAGATTATGCCACTGCACTCCCGCCTGAGGACAGAGCAAGAATGTCTCAAAAAAAAAAAAAAAAAAAAAAAAAAAAAAAAAAAAAAAAAAAAAAAAAAATTCAGAAATCAGAAAACTTTCAGAAGAAAATTACAAAGCAAACAAACAGCAATTATTCCATGGAAAATAACAGTTTGACATGAAAAGCAACTATACAATGTGGCTCAGCAGCAAATAAAACTTATTCGGTCATTATAATGTAAACACACAGAGATCAAACAAGAATTATGGTACAATTACACTGGGAGAGGGGGAGATAAAGAGCAGAAGTTTATGAGTATGGGGTGACTGTGTATATAGTGGCAACAGGGGAAAGTGTTTCAGCTTTATTTTTATTTGTTTATTTTTTTTGAAACAGGATCTCCCTCTATCGCCCACGCTGGAATACAGTGGTGCGATCTTGGCTCACTGCAACCTCCATCTCCTGGGCTCAGGCGATCTTCCCACCTCAGTCTCCCAAGTAGCTGGGGGTACAGCCACAAGCCACCACATGCAGCTAATTTTTGTATTTTTTTGTAGAGACAGGATTTTACTGTGTTGCCCAGGCTGGTCTCAAAATGCTGAGCTCAAGAAATCCACCCGCCTCGGCCTCCCAAAGTGCTAGGATTACAGGCATGAGCCACCGTGCCTGTCCCAGCTCTATCTTTCTTAGTGGAAAGATAGTGCCTAAAACTGGAAAAATAAGGAGAAACAATACTAGAATATAAAGGACAGAGGTCAGTACCAAAAGAATCAGCTCAAAAGTCCAGGAGTTCTAGGTACAGTGCGCTATGATCATGCCAGCCTAGGGATCAGAGGGAGACCCGGTCTAAAAAATAAATTAATTAAATAAATAAAGTCTGTGGGAAGAGATGGCCAGGGGCAGACCTGTGTTACTTCTAGTTAAACGATTACAAGTTTGCTCTGCTTTTTACACACTGAGATTTGTGCCACGGATCATATCCAAACTATGGTGCAATAAAATAAAAGCAGAGATCAAGCAGTAACAGGAGACCTATGGTAAAAACCATCTGAGCTGGGCGCAGTGGCTCACGTCTGTAATGCTAGCACTGTGGATCACCTGAGGTCAGGAGTTCAAGACCAGCCTGGCCATCATGGTGAAATCCCATCTTTAAAAAAAGACCATCTGAGAGCACCCTATAACTTTGGAACACTGCAGTGTGGTTGCAGAGCAGAAAAAATTGCTTTGGTCCCACAACTCTTCCCAACATAGTCTGTGTGAGGATCTAGTAAAGGGAGCTTATGCAAAAGACTCGGGCAAGTAGTGCAACCTCTGCTCACAAGACTCGGGGAGGGTCTTTGCAGATGGGAGCTGGTAAGGCCAAAAGACCTTACAGGACAGAGATCACCAATCCCAACAGGCTCTGCCTATGTTCTCAGAATATGGAGCAATTCCGATTGTTCTGTGTCCAAAATGCTTGGGAGATAAAAGCCCCTTGATGCACTGTGTATGTTCAGACCTCATGGTGCCTTATCTGCTGCACCTCTCTTGCCAAAACACCTGGATAGACAATGGGTAGTAAAATCTTGGTACCCTTAGTTAGCTTTCTTAGGAGAACCACGCTTGCTATTGAATGCTGCAGACATGTGCTCTTCCTCCAGCTATCTTCCTCCTCAACCCTCCTCCCCACAGCCTGCAAGATTAACAAAATAATCCACCTAATAAAAGCACCTTGGAGCCCAGAGCTCAGCGCCAACGCGGATCACCGGCAAGTGCGCTGGCCCCCTGGACCCATGACGTAAAATTCTATTCTTGTGTCTTTGTCTTTATTTCTTTTCTCACTCCCTCGTCACTGCCAGGACACCAGTGACATGGGTTGGGCTGGTTCCCAACAAAGTCAATCAGTACTGAAAATAAAGTACTGATGAAAACACTTACTCAGAAACACGAAGAACATTCTCTTTCCCTTCTTCAACGGAAATGCTGACATTGTCTTTCACATGTTCTACTGCCAGCAAAGCTCCTATAAATAATATGAAAAGATTTACTCTTTAAAAACAATGCAGTATTTATAACTTGAATCATAAAGCAATCAGGATGAGTCAACAAACCAATATTAAATTCTGTAAGGCGTGAACTTTTCTCTCAGTAGTCCGCAAACAGGAAGTATAGTCTTTTGTCTCAGAACAGCAACAAATCAGAATCCAGAATCCATTCACTAGCATAGCCAACTGGTTTTGAGTTTGCTCAACTAGAGACAGTGAAATTAATCTGTTCCTCCCTTTGGAGACAAAAAGAAATTAGTATAGTGCTGGCCAGGCAAGGTGGCTCACGCCTGTAATCCCAGCACTTTGGGAGGCCCAGGTGGGCAGATCACCTGAGGTTGGGTGTTCGAGACCAGCCTGACCAACATGGAGAAATCCCGTCTCTACTAAAAACACAAAATGAGCCGGGCTTGGTGGCACATGCCTATAATCCCAACTACTCGGGAGGCTGAGGCAGGGGAATCGCTTGAACCCAGGAGGCGGAGGTTGCAGTGAGTCAAAGATCGCACCACTGCACTCCAGTCTGGGCAACAGAGCAAGACTCCATATCAAAAAACAAAAAAGTGAAAAAAAAAAAGGGCAGAGTCAAGGTTGGAGGGGCTCCCACTGGCCAATCAGGGTACTGACCATCAAAATAAATGAGATCAATTTTAGCATACCCATACAATGAAATCACATCCAGCAAATAAAAAAGTGAACTAATAGGGCCGGGCGCGGCGGCTCAAGCCTGTAATCCCAGCACTTTGGGAGGCCGAGGCGGGTGGATCACAAGGACAAGAGATTGAGACCATCCTGGCCAACGTGGTAAAACCCCATCTCTACTAAAAAAAAATTAGCTGGGCATGGTGGTGCGCACCTTGTAGTCCCAGCTACTTGGGAGACTGAGGCAGGAGAATCACTTGAACCCAGGAGGCAAAATTTGCAGTGAGCCGAGATTATGCCACTGCACTCCCGCCTGAGGACAGAGCAAGAATGTCTCAAAAAAAAAAAAAAAAAAAAAAAAAAAAAAAAAAAAAAAAAAAAAAAAAAATTCAGAAATCAGAAAACTTTCAGAAGAAAATTACAAAGCAAACAAACAGCAATTATTCCATGGAAAATAACAGTTTGACATGAAAAGCAACTATACAATGTGGCTCAGCAGCAAATAAAACTTATTCGGTCATTATAATGTAAACACACAGAGATCAAACAAGAATTATGGTACAATTACACTGGGAGAGGGGGAGATAAAGAGCAGAAGTTTATGAGTATGGGGTGACTGTGTATATAGTGGCAACAGGGGAAAGTGTTTCAGCTTTATTTTTATTTGTTTATTTTTTTTGAAACAGGATCTCCCTCTATCGCCCACGCTGGAAT